GGCTTTTGGGCAAACAGCTTACTTGTTCTTGTAGTAATCAATCAAACTGCCCTTAGTGTTTCAGATTTTTCCTGCCTGTCTTTCTTTCACAAGTCAATTTTAGAGCTGTGACATCGAGGCTGACATCATAAGTAGCCACCAAGCTCCTTCTCTCTGTACCTTGGGAAAATTGTGGGGTCAGTGCTGGCCTTTTTTTGAGGGGGTGTGTGTGCACCCACCCTCCTGAAGGCATCTGGGCTGGACAAAGAAGGCGCTACACGGAAGAGGAGGAAAAAATGTGTAGAATCTCCTGTACCTCTTTTTGCAAATGTCTCTGCACAGCTTTTACTGCTGATTAAAAGTTGGTCTGGCTATAGCCCTGTCCTCTGAATTCTACTCATTCAGAGTGGCCGCAGAGGAAGTCCTGTGTCCAGAGATTCCTAACTCACAGAATTTTCCTTTATATCATGATTTTTTCACTTGTGAGTGTGGAAAACTGATGTCCTGGACCTTGTGGTAGTTCCAGAGCTCTGGTGTTCTGTGAGCACAGCTTCTGTGGGTTTTCAATTCCCCTGTATAAGTTTTCCAAGGAGCAGTTGGTGGGTTGCCAACATTGTGTTTAGCAATCCAGTGCTTATTCTACAGAACTATAAATAGTCTTTTCAGTTTAAAATAAAAAAATAAATATGATGAAAGTGAAAAACAAATATTACATTCTAATATTATAAATGCAAACGTTGCAGGTACTAAAATAATGGGCAATATTTTTCCTTCTGGTAGGAGGTGGAGGGTTGGTGAGATGAGATATGACTGGTTATTATAGGTTATCTTTTTAATTAAAGGCTCCTAAGATGGGACATCCAGAAATACCCAAGTCTGAAATGTAAACAACCCTCATATCCAATTTCTTTTCTAGAACAATCTATCTGGAGTAGATTGCTTCATAAACTTACATATAGTACAAGTCATATATTATTGTTGCTGTTAGATACTATTGAGCTGAATCTGACTCATAGCATCCCTATGCACAACAGAATAAAAGATTTGTTTTAAGCATCTCTGTGATGGAACGCAAACTTCAGAGTCTCTTCTAACATCCATTTTGGTCTCTTCCTTCTTTTTTCCCTTCTTAATGACCTTTTGTTTTCTTCATGTATGATGGTCTTTATGTCGTTTGATATTCAGTCATTAGTATTTAATTTATAAAATCTCTTTTTCAGATTATCTCTAAATTTAGGTAGGATATATTCAAGGTCATATTTTGGCTCTTGTGGACTTCTTTTAATTTTCTTCAGCTTCTGTCTGAACTTCCATGTGAGCAATTGATGATCTGTTCCAGTCTGCGCATGACCTCATTTTGACTGATGGTATTGAACTTCTCTATCATCTCTTTCCACAAATGTAGTCAATTTGATTCTTGTGTAAATCGTTTGATGAGGTCCACATGTATAGTTACCATTTATGTTGTTGAAAAAAGGTATCTGCAATGAAGAAATCATTGATCTTGCAAAATTCAATCAAGCTATCTCTAGCATCATTTGTATTCCCAAGCCCATATTTTCCAACTGCTTACCCTTCCTCTTTGTTTTCAACAACTTTTTGCATTTTTATCTAATTATCCATTGATAATTCCAAAAGTAATTATCTATGCATCTTAGTTGCTTGTTTGATTAGCTTCAGATTGAAGAAGATTGTTGAATTCTTCAATTTCATCATCACTAGATTTAATGGTTGGTTCATAAATTTGAATAGTGGAATTAAGTGTGCTTCCTTGAAGACATATGAATATTATCCTTCACAGACACAGTGTACTTCAATGGACTTTTTTTTTCTTTCATTACAAACACTTTTTTTTTTTAATGACACCAGTTGAAAAATGTATAGTTACAAACTAGAATATAATTTATACAAAATGCATTCATAGAACTGTTAGAAAAGCATCATTTACCAAGGTTAATCTAATTCAAGTGGCTAAAGAGTACAGACCCCCCTCCCCCCCATTTTACATGTGGTTTACATGTGGTTAACAACATGTGGTAGTTAATCCAGTATCTCTAAGTACTTCCCCTAGCCAGGGCACTTTCATACTTTACAACATATTCAATAACTAGTGAGTTTAAGTTTCTAACACTTTCAGTATTGATGCTGAGACATCTCCTAACAGGTTCACTATGAAAAACTCCAATGATAATATTTGAACGTTTTTTACAAACTATGAGGTGCTATGCAGATATCAGTAGCTAGTGCTGTTATTCCTGTCTAGTCAGATTTCACTGAAGTAATTTGGGAAAAAAGGAAGACTGATGTTCGTAACTGACAAATGACTTATAGAACATCTGAACAAGAGCACAGATTTGACTTCAAGTACACATAGCAACAAAGCAGGAAAGGAAAGTGTGGCCAGTAATGTGAATTTGAGGAATTCCAGACTCTGTTGATAACTATATGAAGGGCTCCCTTATACATTAAATGTAATATTTATTGTTAGCTTCCCCAAATCCTAGAAAGTAATATATTTATTTGTGACCCTTTCTTCTCTGCTCCAGCCCCCAAAACTCAAGAAGCCTAAACCCACTGCCATCAAGTCTATTCTTACTCCTAGGGCTCTTGTATAGAGTTTCTGAGACTGTACAACTTTATGGGAGCAGAATAGCTTTTGGTGGTGGTGGTGTGCCTTGGAGTCAGATCCAACTCATGGTGACCTTGCATAGGGTTTCCGAGGCTATAAATCTTTATGGAAGCATAAAGCTTCATCTTTCTCGCGTGGAACAACTGGTAGTTTTGAACTGTTGACCTTGAGGTTAGTAACCCAACTCATAATCACTACACTGCCAGAACTGCTGGCCTTTTCTTTAGCTGTACAGTGCTTATCCTACCAGGCCATCAGGACTTCTTTGTCCAGTTCTTGTAAAATGCTTGGCCTCAAGTCTGAGTTCATAAAGTTATCCTACTCTTGTAGACCACACAGAGCACTCTGCTGCCCAGGGATGAAGCCTGTGTTTTACTCTGTCAAATGGACCCAGAAACAGTCTACAACTTCGCTATGAACATGAGCTTGTCTGGAGACTTGAAATACAAATGAGGCATGTTTGAAATGTGAGAGAAATTATCTGATTCATTACCTTCAGCTTTAATCTTTCTTTGTGTACACCTGTTTAACTGTTATTACCAGTATCCTTGGGTACCATGTTGTTGTTGTTAAGTGCCATTGAGTTGATTCCTATTCATATCGACTTTTTAAAGGGTTCCAAAGAAGCATCTTGTGGGTTTGAACTGCCAAATTAATTCAATCTTGAGTTATCATTGAGGAAAAACAAAAAACATACAAATCTTTATTGTGTTTCAGACTGCCTAAAGAACAAACAGATCTGTGTTGGAAGAAGTACAGCCAGAGTGCTCCTTGGAAGTGGGGACCAGTCCATGGAGAAGAATATAATGTTTGGTAAAGTGGAGAGTCAGAGAAAAAGAGGATGACCCCAATGATATGGATTAGCACAGTGGCAGCAGCAATGGGTTCAGGCTTAATAATGATTGTGAGGTTTGGTCAGGACTGGGCAGTGTTTCATTCTGTTCTGTATGGGGTCACTATGAGTCACTGCTGACTCAAAATTACTTAGCAGCAACAAAAAACAATCATAATCATACTTTTCTCTTTCTCAACAATTAAAATAAACACAAATGCCTACTTGACTTTTATGTGTAGGCATTGCTCTATTCCTTTAGTACAGTTCCACAACATAATATAGTGTTTGTTGTTGTTGTTGTTGTTAAGTGCCGTCGAGTCGGTTCCGACCCATAGCGACCCTGTATAGGGTTTCCGAGGGTGTAAATCTTTACGGGAGCAGATCGCCTCATCTTTCTCCCGCGGAGCAGCTGGTAGTTTCGAACTGCTGACCTTCCGGTTCGCAGCCCGATTCGTAAAAAATACATGGGTGATGGCAAACACTTAAGGGTGGGTCACTCTGTTAGGATTATCAATGATATAAAATTTGAATAATGAAATGTCTTATTACAGGAAGAAAAGTACAATGTGCTTTGTGAGAAAATGGGCTAAGTAATCATTTATCTGAACAACTGCAAATGGCTGCCAGGGAATAGTTAGGGGAATTTGAACATAAACCAAACTCTGAGTGCGTATTGAATTAGTATTAAGTATTAATATTAGTATTAATTAGTATTAAGAAATGGCTCTCAAAACTGCACACAGGATACAAATGCAAACAGTTGTTAGTTCCAGGTGGCAAAATAGTGGCAAATTCTCATTTTCTTCACATTTTAACATGCATTTTACCAACTTTCTACAGAGAACAGAGAACATAAGAGAGAGCAAACATTTTGAGGGACATGTTTTCAGATGGCAGACAAGTAGTGCCAAATGACTGGAAAAACTAGGATAAAGAGCTCAAGGATTATCTAATCACAAAGATCTGTGACCTGCTGGGCACTTCCTTTCTTAAAGTCCTCTTATCAAATCAGTTGGCTGATGTAGCCTACTTTTTCTCAAAAATTATGTAAAACAAGGAAAGAATCCCATTGACTAGGGAATTATACTTTATGCACAATTCCTCAGTGATACTCACATTTGTTTCAGTGTCTATATTTTACACAACTGTTTATAGAAGACGGAGTAAAAAAATCTAATGACTTGCTGTTTCTCTGGAGTTAGGAATCCACTTCAGCATAAAACAAATCTTTGGTTTGCTTCTGTGTGTCACTGTTAACACAACCATAGGAGTACTGGACAACTATAAGGCAAAATGCTATTAACACATTTTGTTGTAAGAGAATGCAATTCCTCCCAGAATGGTGGAAAAATAATTTAATTTTTCAGAATTCTCATCTCCAAATGAGAGGCTCAGATAGTTACAGTTGATTCTATGAACCATGGTCTGAGAAGGACCAACACTGACACTAGCCAAACATGACAATTTATTTCAGTTTTATTATAACCATTACCAACCTACAAGAACATTCACATTTTTAATCAAACCAAGTGCATGTTATGAAAGGTGGTGTTCTATTTAATCCTGTTTGCCTTCATACCACTGGTGTGAGCCTTCTTTTCTATTCTACCTACAAAGAGGGCCAACACCACATGGATGCCAACCACCGCCACAATCACAGCATAAAAATAGCTGTACTGATCAGACATGCACAAGGTACTTCTAACGTTGTTGTTGTTGTCAGGTGCCATCGAGTCGGAACCAACTCATGGTGACCCCATGTACAGCAGAAAGAAACAATGTCCGATTGTGGGCCAACCTCACTACTGCTGCCACACTTGA